ATATGCTAGTGCTCCATATCAGACATGATGAAGAAATAGAAGAAAACACTGAGAATTGGGAAGGTGTCCGACAATCACAGCTTGTTCAATGGTTGCTTTTTGCAAATTAATTTTTTCTTAAAGCAAAATATTTATTTTGGAATCGTGAGTTGATATTTCTGTAATTTACTATTCTTGATATTGATCCTTAGGTACTTGGATATGATGGAAGAAAGCATCGATTCAGAGGAGGAATACAATCTTCAGAAAACTATTTGTGAACGTGTTATCAGGCGTCTTATCACGGAAGACAATATTCTGATCCAGTTAAACGCAGAAACAGATGAAGATCCTATTGTTGTTGTCCATCCTAATTATGTTGTAAGTGATGAATAACAATTTGTTTCTTCCATGTTTATTAAAAAATTTTTCATTATAAATCCGTAAACTTCGAAAATTTTCCTGTACAGCTAAAAAATCGAGAAAATGTCTTTGTTTTATTCACTTATTGTATAAAAGATTTATGAAATCTTGTAGCTTTCTTTTCTAATGTAAACGACATCTACTTGTGCCTGAATATTTTTTGTCTGCTGTGCAAATTTTGTAAGATCTCTCATTACACTGTTACTTTGAACAGTCTGTTACATTTTTTTATTGGCTGTCATGCATTCGATATATTTTGATGAATACTTTTAACCTTCATTTCACTTACATGAAGATATATGCCTGATTTCAATCCTGTTGAGTAATATATTTTACAATTTTCATTGATTATTTTGGAATAAATATTTAATGTTGCTGGATGGTGCTGTCAAAAATAATTTGTAGCACATTGTTAACCAAAAATATTTTCAATCAGTTGCAATTATTCATTTATATATCGAAAATAAATCAGTTATTCAGGTCCTTAAAATTCAACATCAACAACAACCGCTTCTGAATCAGTATTTTCCGATATAGAACTGCGACGAGAACCTAAAGAAAGTTATTTTCACTGGGTTCTCTGAAGCATGAAAAAAATTATCAATGATATTCAATTTGAAACATACTTTCACCCTCAGAATGGTATCCGCGTGACCTAAATTTTCTTCGTTGCTTTTTCCTTGTCACACGAACATTGTTTGCTAATGATTTCATCAATTCTTCGAGATTATCCAATTTTGAGGTTTGTACATTATCATATATACCATAAAGATGATCTGTAAAAAGACAATATTAGTTTTTCAATACTTTCACGAAGTTACATATTGCAATAAAATTCTGTCTAGTCATACTATGAAAGTACTATCAGGTTTTTTGTCTAATAAGTTTTTATTTCAGTGAAAGTTTTAAAATTTAACATTAATAGGAAATTGCGACAAGTTTTGAAAGAACCTCTAAAAAGATGTTTGATAAATTCTAGAATGAAATTTTGTTCATCTTGTGTTCGCTGAATAAATAACTGTTGTAAGTCATCATCGGCTTCCGATAATGTTACATCTTTACAGTGATCGTAGATATCCTCTAATTTCTCCACAAATAATTGAATTTCATTTGTTTTCACCTGTTGTTTCATCATATCCAATAGATGGAGCCGTACTTTTGATGGTAATTCTTTAAATAAATAAAATTATTTAAATATTAAAAATTTGAGCAACATGGAGGAAAAAGCACTAATTTTAGAATGATTTTTATTTGCAATATAATTTTTAAATTGAAATAATAATTTGATTTAGAAATTAAGTTAAAAAAAATTTATCTCAAAATAGTAAAGAAGGAAAAAACATGAGTACTAAATAATCAATCGTTTTTTTTGTCATTTTCAAAGTTAGAAAGAATTTAGAAAATCGAGAGCAACCTTTGAAATTATCAATTTCTCTTTGATCATTCTCATTACTTGTTAAATTTTCAAGCAATCCATCATTCATATCGACAATCAGCTTCCTTGTACTTTGTGCTCGACTATAGCGAACTTTGGAAGAGCGATTACCAAACAATCGTACATTAACAGATTGTAATAATTCTGAGCATTCTTCCACCGAATATCCATTAATAAGCTAAATTAAATTTAAATGAATTTCAAAATTTAGCAAAATCAGAATTTCTATCCTAATACTATTCCCAATTAAAAAAATAGCTTTACATAAAAAAATTTTTAATTTTGCAAAAGGAAACTATCAGTTTTTTACTTTTTTGTGGAAAGAAAATTTAATTTCCCAATTTTCCAGAAAGTGAACTTACAAAAAAAGCAAACTTGGTTGATTCTATCAAAGAGAAATATTTGATAAAATTAATCAAGTGGTCAGTATTTTTTGAAAAATTAAACAATTTTTAATCAATGATTTTTTTACGAAATACCTTTTCAAAAAATGGCATTAATGATTCAGTGGATTGTTTTTTGATATCCAATAAACAATGAGCATTAGCAATTCGAAAATTGACAATTGCATCGTCTGTTTCATTGTTTAATAAAACAACGATATCATTATTGAAGAAGGAATTGATAACATTATCAATATCAATAGGCATTTTTGTAAAATCAATGATTACTAACGATGATACCTAAATTACGTAAAATTTAAGAAGAATTTTTATCTTTAGCTTCAATGAAATTTTGAAAAATTTTCAACTAAATGCTGAGAATGAATTTGTAAGAAATTAGTTTGGCAATTGAATGCTCAACGATTATAATAAATTTATTTGTTGAATTAAAACAATTTTATCTGTTCAATAATTAATTTGCTATTTTTTTTCTCAAATACAAATTTGATTTTGTGATTGCAGAATATGAGAGAAAGAAAGGACCTGTATTTTGTAGATAAAATCAGTTCTATCATTTGGACGGATATATTCCCATGAAATAGTTGCTGAATCGATTCCCGCACAAAATATCCCAATTTCAGGCTCCTTCCGATTTTTCGTATATTTCGGTTCATTAAGTGCAATTAGATGTGTTTTTCTGATATCGACAGCTTCTCTCACATTGATCAGGAATTCCGATTCAGATACCAACTTTTCGAATTCATCATTTGTCAAGGTTGAAATGATATCAACAGAATGCAACATTTGATCCAGAAATTGCGCAAAAAATATTGGCATTTTTGTTGCAGTAACATTGTCAACAGAATAGTACAGTTTTCCAACTTGACCTGAATTTCTTTTTTTTTCAATTTTTTTGGTTTTAAATTGAAAAAAAATTCCCACTAAAAATAAAGCTGTAAAAAGTAAATAAATAAACGAAATATTTCCACTTCTATTTAGATTTTCATTTGTTCATACAAATTATTGCTTAAATTACTTGTGATAATTATAAAAATATTTTGCATCAAAAGATGACTGATTACTTTTTACAAATTGCATGGAAAAAAATTTAATTAAAATGATAAATAAAAAGGACAGAATGATATAAGCTGAAGGTATTTAATATTTAAATAATTTTTTCTGTCAAAACAACATTTCTTTACTTTTTCAATATCAGAAAACAGAAAGAAAAAAATAAATTTAGTCTAACCAACTTTAAAGTACCATATCAGCTTGTAATGATCCAAATGTAAGCAATACAGTAAGCTTTTCTCTAAGTTTTCAATGCATTCTCGTGTAGTTTGTATAGTCGGAACACTGCATTTGACAAATGGCTTCCTATATTGATAATCTCGCCAAAATTTAACCTCAGCGACCGTAACAGTCTCTACAGTATCAGCATGTAACATGCATTTGCATAAAATTAAAACGATATGAAGAAAATCCAAAATTATTCTCTGCCGACTGCAAATACGTATCAATGATAATTCTTCGTATTCTTCTTCTACCATATCATTCCCGAAATAATCATTTAAATATTCTTCCACAAATTTAGCACATTCCTGCAACACTTATAGAAGCTCATAATTGTTGCTTAATTAATTATTAACCAATTTTTTTCCCCCCAGGAAAATTTAAATAATTAAAAGAGAATGTCTTATGGCTAAGTCTTTTTTGCATTATTTCTTTGAAATTCACTACTGTTTTCATTTCTCTGTTATTAATTATAATATACCCTGTGCCATACTGTAACACATCTGATACTTCCAAATTTGTTATACTGTAGTGTAGTATGCTACTGTCCCGCTTACCATACTATTATGTATGTTATCCGTATTTGTCATTTTCGAGGAATATGAATAAACCGTTTGTAAGAATATATCTGAAGAATATTTGAAGAATATTATAAATGGTCAAATGTTTATGGATATATTTTATATACATATATATTTTTTATATTAATAGATATAATTGTAATAAGGAATATTACTGTCTGTTAATACATGTTAATACGTGTCAATTATAGTGTTTAAACCAAATAACACAGTCAAATGATTCATCGTGTACTGCACGCCTCCAATTATTGTACTACATGATCTCCTTTGCTCTTACATCCTCCAATATCTCTCTCCTTATTTTCCCGCGTTATGATATGCACGTATACTTTGCCTATATAAGACATCGAATCTCCATTCATTCATTCATTCTTCTTCCTTTGGGGTTGTGCGTTTTAGGTTATTTTGTTTCTTGTGTTTAATATTGTGTCTTTACTATGGTTTAATTACCCAAGTTTGAGGTTCCAATAAAAGCACAAACGATTCCTACTGTCCACACATTTCAACCAAGGCAATCTATTTTCGCTACAA